ATTTAATTCATTTTACTTCATACATAACATTTGTAACAGCTATGTAGGAACAATCTAATCTAAATAGTAACTTTCAATAAACATAAAACAAAGAATAACAAAATACTTTAAAATCTGCACGAAAATATTGTACATTGATTGAATTTTCCTACAGTTTGAGAACTCTCAGGGCATTAAAGGTAGACAATAACGAAAAATATATATTACAAACTTATACTAGAATCAATCAAAATAGTTGAATTGTTTGCGGTAAAACATTGAGAGTTTCCAAACAAAATTCTGAAATCTTAATCAAAATTTTGTAGCTTACTCTAAATGCCCGATGTTCATAGTTGCCTCAATATTTATTTCATTTTTCTTGGAACTATGTAATACAATATGTATATAATGAACATTATATATTTACAAAGACATATTTGTTTATTTATTACTACTTCCTGTTCCTTTATTACGATATGTGTCTTATATTGTGTATCGAGATAGTGGCTAGCATAATGGCCTTAGCCTGGCGTTGGCCATTATGCATTTACTAATGTGTAATGTGTACAAGATCGAGACTAGCGTCTAGAGCCTGACCTACTCTTATGTGCAGACATGCGCAGTTCAATTGTATCCATTTCTGAATGTGTCAATGAGGTTTATGTGTATTGTTGGTTGCAAACATTTTTTTTATAAATTAATAATATAATTACTTCAATCCATCCCTTTAACCCGTTTGATAAATTTAATAATGTTTAAATTATAAGAATAACTCTAAAATAAATAGTAAATAATAACAAATCAAAATGAAAGGTTTTTTAAAATGGTTTTAAAAAGTATTTAAAAAAAAAACTTTTTGCGCATTTTTTCCAATAAAATTTTTTATTTTATATACAGGATGTTGACTGATGTTATGTATCTATTACTATGATACCAACTTTAATATTTTAAATGAAACATTGGTTATATTATAAAATTTTTGGATTCTGCACAAAATTCCCAGAACTTTGATATATTGCATGTTATAGTTTTAATTAACTTATTTTAGGATACAGGGTGGTTAATGAATAGATCACTCTCTGCATGTCTCCTTATGACTTTAAAAGGTTCTATACCTAATTTCAATAAAGAAGAGTGAGTTCAGTTTCGTATCTCAACTTGTTTTTAATAATGTATATAGTATATACTCTAAGATATGTACCTATATTCTTTTAACATAGATATTATGTCAAATAAATGAAACTGCGCAAGTCTGCACATAAGAGTAGGTCAGGCTCTAGACGCTAGTAAGATCGAGGCCAATTAAGTCAACTGTCAAATTGGTATTACAATAGACTTGCGATTCTCCGAGTCTAGCTTATCCGAGCCCATTAGTTAACCGAGGCAAAAGTTGTAGCTGGTGAGACACAATTGCGAATAGTTCTGCGCTGTTAGTTTTAGCCGAAATTTTTATCTCCCAAGTTGGTCATTTCCTTATTTCTAGAAATTTCTGAGTCGCGTTTTGTCTACAATTATTGTTCCTATGTTAATCAGTTGGACAAGGGTGAATCAATAAAGGAGGTTGGTTCGGATTTAGGTATTGGAGAAGTAACTGTTTGAGTTTGGAAGCGTAAACAACAAAACAAAATGAACAACAAAAACAAAATGAAATCGAACAGTGGGTCAACCCGAGTGTGAGTGGTGGAATTGGCGCGGAAAACCATGAACAAATTTCTGAGGCGTTGTTTTTGTGGTGTTTACAAATGAGAGGATTGGGCAGCCCAATTAGTAGTCCAATACTTCAAACATAAGCTATTGAATTCTACACAAGAAGTTTGTGAATGGAGGAGAAATCGTTTGTGCTAGTGAGGGATGGATTGACTCATGAAAGGAGAAATAATATGGTATCAGACAATTGAATCTTAGAGGCGAACATTTTTGCTGAATCAATTGAAATTGGACACTTTTATTAAACATTACAACACATTAATCCTTACAGATAAACTGACTTCGGACCAAATATTTAACTGTGATGAGGCAGGCCTTAATTTTAAAATGCTTCCTTGGAAAAAATAGCTGCTAAAAATGATGAAACTGCACCAGGTTACAAAAATAGCAAGTCACAATCATGATCTGCAGCAATGCTTCTGATTTATTAAAATTAATATCTCTTTTAATAGTGTGGGGGATCTCTCTTAAATAAAAATACTGGGCCGGATATGGATACTACATTTATTTTCTACGTAAAACAGAGTACATAACAGTATTTATAATCTAATCATAAATCATCAAAGCGTGGTGACTTCAACTTAACCTAACCATCTTCTTCAAGCTAGTGGTGGGTAGTTCCGGAACGAACTAGTTCCTGGAACTAGTTCATTTTATATTATAAATGAAATAGTTCCGAAAATTAAATGGAACTAGTTCCGAGGAACTATTAACGTCACTCCTGATCTTCTATTTGATACCGTCATTTGTGCGCGAACTGCATCTCTAAGTATTTCTTCGATCTACGAAAACGAAAAAGGAACTAGTTCCGAGCCGGAGCCGATTAGTGGATGAACTAACACAGTTCCGAGGAACAAGGAACTGTATGATAATTGTGATCGGTCCGGTGTGCGATGCTTGATCGTTGGCTGTAACTTCAGCTTGTAGGTACATACATACGTATATACATTATACTGTGCTTAGATTAATTTATTATAATTGTGTGTAGTAGCCGTGTTATATTTATGTTATAGTTATTGTTAAATTATTTACTGGTCATGATATTTTTAGAGTTTAGTTTAATTGTGATTTAATGATTAAATTTTAAGAAATTCTTACGCTTATAGTTTCAAAAGTAAATATTTTTAAAAATCATATGATGCACATCAGTATGATCCTGTTTGGCTTTCACGTGCTTATACTGACAATTGGGAATATGTAAAATGAATGTAGTTCTTACACCCAACGATATAATTAAATTTTACGACTTCCTGTCTTCTATGTCGAAAAAAATTGCTATGTAAGTAAAGTATATAAATATATACAATGTGTTTAACATCGCACAGATTTTGTTTATAAATAAATCTTTGAAGAACAAAAAATTCTTAGAGAGAAAGTAAATAAAAAACAAATCAATAATCATAGAAAAATAATATCATTTTGATTTAAAATTCAGCAAAATATGTTTAGATAAAGTAAAAAAGCACTTCGCTATTTTCGTGAACTAATTATTTAAACCAATGCCTTCGAATTTAGTTTCCCATCGTTTACCATATTTTACTTTTATTTTATTTGTGATGTCGAATATCGAACCTAAACACTCGATCCGATTCATATCAAGATTGATCATACCGATCTGATCGCAAAGTTAGTCATAGTTCCAAAGAACTAGTTCCAGGAACTAGTTCCTTTTTAGGAACTAGATCTAAGGAACTAGTTCCTAGAAAGGAACTATGACGCCCACCACTACTTCAAACCCGCCAATCCCTGTCATATCAAAGTGAGTGACAGCTGACAGTTCTTCTTTTTTTGAATTGGCCTTCTATTCGTAGTATCACCGAATAAAGGCCTGATTCCTACAATAGAAAAATCCAAAAATCGAGTTGCTGCAAAAAGTTAATTGCTTACCTACAATCTATAAAACCAACGCAATGTATAGATGCAGTGTAACATTTTTAAGAACTGGGCTTTTGATGACTTTTTACCAGTAATTGATGCCTACCTGAAAAACTCTGCCTCTAAAGGCTTTGTTGTTGCTGGACAACGCCCTAGTTTATGTAGACGTGAGTGTTCTACTGTGAGCTGTGTTTCTTTTACGCATTTAAGAAGATTACGGTTATTAAAAATAATTTATATTTATAATAAGGTTAATAATTTATATTATTAAATTAAACCAATTCGATAAGGATTTTTACTTAGTTGAGGAGATATGAAGTGGAATGCACATTTTAGATTCCCCATGTCTTTAATAACATATTTATCAATGTCTGTTTTGCCTTGCAATTCTTAGAAGGCACAGATTAAAGCAAAAATCTGAATTTGGTTTCGAAAATTAGTTCACGGATTTTAATATCAGATGTCGCTATTTGCGTCTATACCATCGAGCAAAAAGACAAAAGAGGGAATCTAATCCTTATGAAAAGAAGACCAAAAAAGTGGCCTCTGATGGCGGACATATCCGGAAATGCGAATGCGCCAAATTTAAATTTTCCGACACTTATTAACAGTAGCCAGAAAATAGTTTTCAGAATGCGTTTTAGACGAGAAAGTTTTAATTAATTATTAACGATAATAGTCTAAAATGCGACACAATTGTTAAAAAACTTCAATATAAATAAGATTTCATGTGACATTTGGGACAAACAATAACATAACCCAACTAAATTTGATGTCAAACAAGGAGAGAGACTCTCTTTCCTTATTTAATGTGGCCTCTAAAGATCGCACTTTCTGTCTAACAACATTTTTGCCCCCACTACCTTTACATTCCCTCTTTTGTCTTTTTGCTCGATGGTCTATACGAAGCATCGAGAAAAAAGACAAAAGAGGGAGTCTAATCCTTATGAAAATGAGACCAAGAAAGTGGCCTCTGATGGCGGACATATCCGGAAATGCGAATGCGCCAAATTTAAATTTTCCGACACTTATTAACAGTAGCTATATAATATTTTTCAGAATGTGTCTTAGACGAGAAAGTTTTAATTAATTATTAACGATAATAGTCTAAAATGCGACACAATTGTTAAAAAACTTCAATATAAATAAGATTTCATGTGACATTAGGGACAAACAATAACATAACCCAACTAAATTTGATGTCAAACATAGAGAGATGCTCTCTTTCCTTGTTTAATGTGGCCTCTAAAGATCGCACTTTCTGTCTAACAATATTTTTGCCCCCACTACCTTTACATTCCCTCTTTTGTCTTTTTTCTCGATGATACGAAGCCATGTTAGAGTTGCTTCCTAAGACAGAAAAGATTTACGTGAAATCAAATCTTGACTGTGTTTTTCCTTTTATAAATAGTTTCCGGAAAAATAATTAAAACTAAAAAAAATGTTTATATTTATTTCTCTACAATTCTCAACATTTTTATATAATATACGTCCTCAGTTTCTTACAAATACAACTTTACAATAAATTAGATCGTGTAAACAGAGTCAAATCATTAGCTATAATATTAAAATAGTTACCGCATTTTAAATAAAATATATATCCTAAAGTTACTGATGTATATATTGTTTTATGGATTTTGCGACTTACTTTAAAAAAATATGAAGAATACAAATAAAAAATATACTACCAAAACAATAAATACTTCAGTCGAAATGATGCAGGCATTAGAGACTAAAGAAAATGTATATGGCTGCGATTTTTTGCAAGAAAATTTGAACATATTATGTATGTACAAGGGAGATTAAAATAATTCAGGTCATTAGGCAAGATAACTTAATATTTTAGGATAAGTTGATGTCAAAAGCACGTCGAAAATATCAAGAGTTGTTGTAGAAAGAAGTGGATGGTAAAAAAGTGCTATCACTAATATTTTCGTAAGTATATTAGGTAATATGAACACACAATAAATGCGCAGAGACAAAGTAGCTAGAAATACAAAATAAAGAAGGTCTCTTCCGAGAGATAGAAGAAACTTTTCCCTCTATTTATAATGGTACAATCCAAGATACAGTGGGTGTTCAAGACTGAAGACAGATTGGTTGATTTGAAGCATGAATTGGTAGATTCCTTTCTGTCTACCAGATTTGACATTACTTATGACGTTCATCTCCCAAATCTTTAAATAGTTGTGGCTGATAGCTGTTATTGGTAAGTAGCAGTTAATGAAAACCTCCCAAAATGGCACAATTAGGTTCTTGGAGATGTTTTGAATTAAAGAGAGGCTATACTCAGAAATAAATGTTTCACTTTGAATACATCGTGGGATAAATGGCTAATATTGGCATACATCTCTTTATGTGCAGTCCTGAAATATATCTCTTACAAAAATCCACTTATATACAATTTCTCTTCTCTTTTTAGCCACCTTACATCTAATTTGCCTCGATGGAGTGCAATACTGTCGATAATTAAAAAAAGTCTTTTACCAATAATATGTGCATTTCAGCTAACATTCAAACCTTCTATTGAGGCAACAATCACTATCTCTAATCACCACATATTTGATAAATTCTGTAACAAAAATAACTTTCTTAGCTGATATTTATTTATCACCAAATGGAAATCGGTCTCGCTTTCTAGCTAACGCTTTATAATATAAAATTTTTAAATTAATTTCATTAGAATATGGCTTTATAAAGTATCAAAATTGTTCTTATTTTTCCGAAGCCATTGCTCTACTTGATGGTAGTTCTTTTGCATCCATTCCACGTTGCCTCGCACTGTTTCTATCGTGGAATCGATTGCTTCTGATGCCGAGCTGCTATTGCTGTGGATGCTATCCCGGAATCTTATTAACTGAAAACAAAACAATAGTATAAATATAGTAGAAAAACCATATTTAATAAGTATGTAAGTCATAACCCAATGGCCAAAGAGGAGATGGAACCAAATCACAATGATATGAAAGCGGGATCTGATACACCCTGTATCAATATATCAACATATGCTATAATGCTTAAAAAATATTATTTTTTCGAACACCTTAATCATCATCATCATTTTGGCTTTACAACCCTGTGTGGGTTCTAGCCTCCACAAGAATTTTTTCCAGTCGTCCCTATCCCTATCCTCCGCCAAGCACGTATTTCCATATTTCTCATATCTTGATCTATGTTATCTATGATGGCTAATTTGTTTACAGCGTCTTTATCTTCCAAGATCGTTGGTGGGTCCTCCTCCCTCTCGTCTGCTCCGTTTACCTCACAGCTTTCGTTGTCCGGGTTTTCTTCTTCTTCCTCTATATTAAGTATCTGTTTAAAAATATTCCGTCCATCGATTTAGTACGTCTGTTCTTGTTGTTAATAGATCGCCATTCAAACTTCTACATTTATTTGTGTTTGCCTTGAATTCTTTTCTGTTGATGTTAACTTTCTTATAGAATGTTCTGAATTATTTTTCTCTATTGAGGTTTTCTATATATTGAAGTTCCTTTTCTAAGTGGTTTCGTTTCTTCATTCTGTGTATTTTCTTTTCTTCTCTTCTCTTTGGCTGGTAATTCTCTATACTTGTTCTAGTTCGGCGGGTAAGCATTTTTGCATAGGCTTCATTTTTGTTGCGTCTTTGCATTCATCGTCAAACCAGTGATTTTTTCGGGTACAAGTTTCTGTTCCAATTTCATCTTGTGCTGCTGACTCAATATCTTCCTTTATCCTGTTCCGTAGGAGTCTATATCTCTTTGGTCTTCTTCGCTTAGACTTCGATTCCTTTACCTACTGGTAATATTTTCCCAGTACTGTTTTGCAACAGTTGAATCTCTCAGCTTCTGTATATTCCATTTCTTTCTATCTATATTTTTTCTTTGTTAGAATTTGAAATTCTGGCCCTTAGTGTTAAGATCACTAAACAATGGTCTGAGTCTATGTTTGCGCGTCTACAACTTCTGCAGTTCGTTATAAACACCTTAATGAAACTATTAAAAATTGGAAATTAACGTGAAAAGATACTGTTGGGTGCTATATCAGGAAGAAGTTACAACAGTTTTATAGTTGGAGATTTCCCATATTATATTAAAGACCTATTGGAGATATAGTGGAGAAGAACCTACAGATGTAAGTAGTTTATTCTATTTCGGGATGAGGCATTAGGAAAAAAGATGAAACGTGCGACGGATTTTAGAATAATCCGGAGATTTTACGCAACTTAAGCCATTTTGAGTCGTACCTGTACTTGATTGATTATTATTAATCCTTTAACCTAGTGAACTGGAGGAATATGTGGCAGATCATAAAATAATACTTGAATTTGAATATATTTTCGTTTCTTTTTTGACATTTATATTGGTCCTTCCATTTAGTCTTTCTTTTTGTTTGATGATCATTCCATTTCTGTTGTGTTGGGAATTCAATATTAAAAACCACTGGCGCTTATTTTTTTGCAAACAATTGATCTTCTGATTTTCTCTTTTGTTGTCTTATTTATATCTTTCTAGTGTCCATTACTTTCCTGAATGACCCCACCCATCATCTAAAACAACTGAACAATGGTGCCTTCTAGATACAAAGTATATCATACATAAGCATTACCTAGTCGCACGTAATCGTTGTTTGCATCACACGTTTGGGAACAGTCACATACAATATATACAATATCCTGATATTTTTTTTCATGTCCCAGCCAAATCGGATGTACTATACTACTATAGGTTTGTGTTATGACCACTTATGAACCACCATAAAAAATTGTGTGTCAAATAAAAAAAATGCCAAATAAGAATGTAATTTACACTGCCTCGTTCATATTTGAGATCTATCGTATGCCTAGACAAACAAAACAGAAATCACGATATATTAAATATACCATACAACAAACAGTACATATGAAAACCTGTGAACTAAGTATATTTTTAATCTCTTTTGCATTTCTTATACCACCTTCAGCAGTGCTGCAAAAAAGCTAAGGTTCTTACGTGTTATTTATTTCGAACAACTGAAAAAATGTGTTATTAAATAACTTACCTCTGACAGTTGGAATTCAGTGTTCATTTGTGGTCCTAGAGCTTTGACCATCTTTGCAATGACGTTGAAACCGTCGCCATGACTGAAAATGGGTAAAATATTAATAAAAACTATAGTTAAGCATACTAATATATTTTATTTTACACACATTAAAAAACAGCACAATAATAAATACAACAAAAATGTCAAAGCTAAGACTAATACTATTTATGGTATTATTCTTATTTTATATAATTCATATATAGTTTATATAATATAAAATATTAATAAGGTCTACAGAAGGACTGGGGAACCTTGCACTGCCTGTATTCAGTCACACCGAGTTGCTTTTGATGGTGGCTCAGTAATGTTTTGGGCACGGATTTCTTTTGAGGCACACTGATCTCGTTGGTACAAGGGAAGCTATATTTAGCGTGCAGATATTGTTTCAGAAATGTAGAGATGGCAGCTGTGATGTTTTTGCATACCTAATTGACTACAAGAAGGCTTTCGATAGAGTTAGGTATGAACAAATGATGGAAGTGCTGAAGTGGACAGGGATTGATGGAAGAGACCCAAAAATAATAGCTAATCTGAATTGAAATCAATCAGCGGTGCTCCGAATAGATGGATACTATACAGATCACGTCAAAATCTAGGAGTGAGAGAATCGGGGAGTGAGACATAATTTCACCATTGATATTCAATCTGTACTCGGAGCACATTTTTGAAGAGGCTCTAAAAGATATTATCTTAATAAATGGAGGCAAGCTCAATAACCTGCGGTATGCAGATGATACAATAGTGTTTTCCAATACCATAGAAGGGCTGCAACACTTAAGGCTGTTTTATCCGTTCACCAAAACCTAGGAACTGTTATTTACCGACAAAATGTCTCGAAATCTGGACACAATATTCGAACCTAGTTGCTTTTAAAATGATGGTTTTACTTTTTTTTAATTTTTTTGTTACTTCTGTTGAAAAATTGAATTATACTGTTTAACGTTCTATTATAACCAAACTTTTTACGCCCATCGCTTGAAAGAGTTTGTTTCTGTAATTGTTCATTTTTTTTCACCTTTCTGTGTCCAGTAATAATCGAGAAAAGCGTGTTCAAACTTTGAAGAAAATTGCTAAAAAATACTGAAATCTAATAGTGAAACGTGTTACTCATCATTGTCGCTTAGGTTCACCGTTATCGCCTTCGTGACTTCAAATCTCATGAACGCACAGTCAGTTAGTTCGTGTTAAAACTAATTTGAATGGAGAGCAATGCATTTGTTGCCCATTGGCCGACGCCACTGAGTAAAGATAGTCTCGCGTAAGCAGTGTAGAAATGTAAGTGATACGCCTATTTCAAATCGCAGTGTGCTTAAACTTAATGAACAAAATAACAGAAACAATAAAACATATGGACTGGATATAAACACCAGCAAAACCAAGATAATTATCATCAGCAAGGAAAACATAACTCGAACAAATCTGTATGTGAACCAAATGAGAATTGAACGTGTCTCACAGTAAAACTACTTGGGAACTATAATCAATGAGTCGTGGGACAATACCCAAGAGAATAAATGTCCTATCGAAAAGGCAAAATGTGACTATGAGCTCTGTGTTCAAGAGCCATTACCTTACATTAGAAACAAAAATAAGGCTCCTTAAATGTTACGTGTACTCAGTGCTTCTGCACGGAGTAGAAACGTGGACATTGAAGACGGAAACTCTATCAAAACTTCAGGCTTTTAGGCTATGGTTATTCAGAAAAAATCTGAAGATACCATGGAGAGACAAAGTCACCAATGAAGAAGTACTGCGTAAGCTGGAGTACTTGGGATATATAATGAGAAATCAAGGCAGATATGAGCTACTCCAATGCATTTTGTAGGGTAAAAGGAAAAAGGGCCCCAGGAGGAAGAAGAATATCCTGGCTTGCTAACCTGCGAGCATGGTATAGAAATACCTCATCACAGCTATTCCGTATAGCAACCAACAAAGTCATCATAGCAAGAATGATCGCCAAAGTTGGGAACGGACAGGCACCCTAAGAAGAAGGATCTCGTATTGATTGAAAGGCGCTCGTTAACAGCAACAGATAAATAACAGAGATCCTACAACATCAGGTGATGCCATTTGCTGGCTTAATTGGCAATTGTTTTCTGTTAATGCAAGATAATGCGAGACCACACACGGCAAGGATTGTAACAATTCTTCTTCCTATTGTGCCGTCTTCTAACGAAGTTGGCGATCACTGCTTTAAACGCTTCTCTATCTTATGCAACGATTTCTTCTTTCTTCCCAGGCCTTTTCTTCCCTTTACACTCTACATTATAACATAGTATCTTAAAAATGTTGGTGTTGCTAAAATGGACTGGCCTGCTCAAAGTCCAGACCTTAATCCTATTGAGCATATATGGAGCATTCTCAACAGGCGCGTAATACGACGCGTCGTATACCTGCTCCAACTATTCACTTCACTACTACTACTACTACAGTAGTGAAGTGAATAGTGAACAGTGTAGTAGTGTCTGGGGGCTTGGGAGACTGAGACCTCTGAAGCAATGAAGAAGACATCAGAGAGGATGTCGAAAGCTCGGCGCAATAGAAATCAATGCGGTTCAACCCGGAAGACTGGTGAGTTTATTATTAAATTTTATAATAGTATTAATCTTAGCTTAGGTTGAATAATACTGTTATTTAAAAAACTTACTGTTTGAGTAACGCCACCCAGTTCTTCCTCAAGAAATCAAAGGCTATTTGCGTGCCAAACTTGTTGTTGGCGACTGATTGAAAAACTCGATCTGCATCTTGAATGCGAATACTGGGATCGTTCAGGATTTTATCAACGTATCTGCAAATAAAATATTTTAATCTTTTAAAGCCGCCAGTGTTAGTGAACAGAAAGAAGTGTTAGTAAAGTGTACTTGTGTTGTAGATAAGAGCGTACAGAACAGTAGGCGGTTGAACAGAGGAATCTACAAAAGAAAATAGAAAAGTTGATTAGTTTTTAAAGTTTCTGTAAGTATCAGTACAAAAGGTGCTTCTACTAGGATTCTATAGGAAGTTTTATAAGTTGATAACCCTTGAACCATATAAATAAATTGTATGAAACTTCAGCTTGTACCTAGAGAGCAGCCATGTGTGTCTCGTACATCCCAGAGCATCTAGAAGGGTGTTTTTCTCTGTTGGAGATGTGATTTCTATATATTTCTTGTAGGCAAAATCCCATTCTATCTGTCCTCCTTCCCTTAGGGCTGTGCAATAGACGATTTGCTGTAGATTTGGTTCAACCCTAAACAAAAAATAAGAAAAAATAATTTAGTTATATAAAATATACACAGAGACTAAACTTATATAAAAGAGATGCAACCATAGTGAATTTTTGATATGTTTTTGATTGTTATTAAAGTTGCGTGTTTCATATATTTAAAATAAAGTTAACAAGCAACAAATATAATTATTTAACCTCTCCAAGTAATGAGTAGAATGGAGAGGTGAGTACGTCAATAATAAAAAAAAAAACAAAAAGTAGAAAAAAGAAATAGACTCAGTGATTGAATAGTCAGGCGGAGTACCACCCAGGCAGTACGGTTTCAGAAAGAACAGGAGCATGGTGGATGCGCTGATTGAAGTCTTCCGGGAGTTACGCGGAGTGGGGGTTAACCAGAGGTGGGTAATCCTACTGTTGTTTGATGTCCGGAATACTTTTAACACATTAAAATGGAAAGAGGCAGGGAAGGCTCTACGAGAGACAAAGTGCCCGAGGTATTTGATGAATTTGGTCTCCGACTATCTGTCAGAGAAGAAAATTGTGGTAGAAGAGAAGAAAAGGAGTGGTGGTTGACGTGACGGCTGGAGTGCCGCAGGGGTCGGGTCCTAGGATCCACGCTGTGGAACTTGGTATATGACGGGGTTGTGAGCCAACAATATGGAGAGTCAACAATATTTTCATATTTGCGGACGACCTCGCTATCGAAGACATTATCTTTGGTGCACAGCGTACATACAACCAAGTCGATGAATGGATGAAAATATTTGATTCTGATTTGATGATTCTAGCCAGAGCTGGAACTGGTTACGGGTAAGACCGAAGCTTTAGTTCTCAAGGGACCACGGAAAAGAGACGGGATAACATTCGAATGTGCAGGAAATAAAGTGGTTCCAAAGAAATGCGTGAGGTATTTAGGGGTGACTATGAGTCAAAATAGAAAGTGGGGATCATGCTTAACATCCGAGGGCCCAAAAGTGAGAAAATCAGTGTTGTGCAATCGATTGTCCTCTACGTTGCGCCTGTCAAGATTACTGTAGTTTTAACAAAGGTGTACAGAAAGCAGCTCACCCGAGCAGATAGGAAGAGTCTATTGAGGGTGGCGTGTGCATACAGAACAGTCTCTGCCGAGGCATTGGGAGTTGGGGGATCACCGGATGTATTCCGATACACGTGCTAATGAAGGAAAGGGAAAGACTATACGAGAGAAGAAATAAAGACATAGCAACAGAACGTTTAAAAAAGAAGAAAGGGAGAGGTCTATAATGGTGAGGCAAGAGGAATGGGACGAGATGAGAAGGGTGGCGCAGTGGACGAAGTCATTGACTCCTAAACTGAGAAGATGGATGGATTGCAGGCACCGGTGTTTGGATTACTTCCTGACGCAGATGCTTACAGGACATGGTTGTTTCAGGGCATACTTTTACAGATTTGGAAAGACAGAAAATGAAAAATGCCTGTATTGTGAAATATCGGACATGTTTCAGAGCATACTTTTACAGATTTGGAAAGACAGAAAATGACAAATGCCTGTATTGTGAAATATCGGACACTGTCTCACACACTCTATTGGTATGCGATAGATGGATAGGTGAGAGGTGCCTGCTTGCGCTAGGAAGTAGGGTGCAAACAGTCACGGAAGTGGTGGAGGAGATGATTAGGTCGTCAGATCGGTAGAGAGCAGTTCAGAGATATGTGAGGAGAACATTAGAGAGAAAGGAACAAGAAGAAAGAGGACCCGAAGGGGGTAGGCAGGAAAAAAGGTAGAATATAAGGCAGAATGAGAAGGGGTGAAACTAAACATGACGGAATAGAGGAAGAGAAGAATTCCGTAATAGTGAGACAGTGCTATAATGCGTGAATGAAAGATCGGGTGAATGCCGTGCCGATGTTGTGTCCAAATAAGGGAGATTCGGCCAGTAATTCACTGCTGAGGAGGGTGTTTTAGCAGGTAGGACTCTGGAATTGACGGCGATAGTGCCCGAACAACCCTTGCGCGCGCCCTAGGATATCATCGTGGCCACGCTGGAGAAGTCCTGCATAACCGAGGCTGGAAGACGGTTCTGCCCACCTTCTAGGACCAAAGTATGTTTTAAACAGTTGGACCATCCTTCCTCATAAAAAAAAGAAAAAAATAAGTATGGGCTAAGAAAAATATTCTCATTCCATATTTTTGTCAATCTTACTTGAAATAGTCCCCTTATGTTAAAAGAATGGTTTAACAATTTTTGACCATCACTTTCTCTGGGCAACATGCAATTTTGTTATAAGGGGACTATTTTAAGTAAGATTGTGCAAAAATATGGAATGAGAATATTTTTCTAGCCAGTTTGTACATACTACCCGGACTTACTCATAATCAAGACAGGAAATTGAGGCAGCTACAAAACTTGAACCGATCAAAATGTTACCAGATCTTGTTCACTCAACTAGACAAACGTTACGGAGATGCTATCTACAACAAGTGTACAAAGCACAACTAAGAAGTAGAATTCAATGAGCAAGTGAAAATTTGCAGAATTAAAAGCAGATGTGATATATATATATTATTCGGAGACTAATAACCCCAGACAATATTTTGAAAGAAATTGCTACAGATACTGCTGTCAATGGTTTGAAAGAAAGTGAATTATAGAAAGCTAGTCTTAGCAAGATCAAAAGTTCTAGATGAAGAGCTCTTCAGCTAGTACCGTTTTTATATTTTATTTCTTTACTCCGTTTGGAGTACCAGAAATTGAATTCACCAAGAATTTTGACCATGATGAACGGCATGTGGAATGCAATCTTAGATTCCCTTGCCGAGTAATTTATTAAGCTGTTTGCTTTGCAAGTTTTAGAAAGCACAGTGATAAAGATTTGAATTCCATTTCGCCAAGTAGAAATCGTATAATTTCTCTTTTTGTTATTAGATGGCGTAGTTACGTCCGTATAGTTATTTTATAATTATTGTCTAAGACGGGAATAGATTTTTCCGCAAATCGCCAGGAAATTTTGACATTCCTGTCAAAATTTCTTGAAGAAAAAGTCAGGACTTCCTTACTGTAAGGAAATGATATTTCCGTACAGTTGTTAGTGTTAACCAGCAATTAAATTTATAAGCGTCAAGTTTGACAATTCAACCTCAATACGTTTCCATAGTAACCCAAGTAATTTTATTAGGAATTTCAAAGCACCATTTATTTGGGAATAAAATTATCGCGTTTTTTCAAAATCAATCAATATCTGTCGAATTTTAAACGATTTGCGGAAAAATAGTATGTTTACCTCGTAGGAAAAGCCACATTCCTGGACTCTGTGTAAGATTGCTAAGTCTTGGCTTGCGCCTCGACTTAGCAATCTTCACAGTCGTCCAGGAATGTTAAGCTACCCGGTAAACAATATACTATTGTTTCGATCCAGAGAGGTGGCTATACCGCTCTGAAGAGACATAAAAAGGTCTAAATACGTATAAGCGGCTTGCCGCCGCTTTATATTTTAAAATATAATAAAGCTCGTATTTTTCTACTTTACCTCTTTCCTGGGAACATCCAAGCTCTAAACTGGATTTTCGAGAGATGTGCGCATCTTGTTTCACTACTTCTACATGACCAGTTGAGTACTGTCGTACGGATTCTTCTTGTTCTGTAGTCTTCAAAAGGGTCTTCTAATGCCACTTTTTTGTACGATTCTTTAAAAACAGTTTGATGGAAGGTCTAGAAATAAGCGAGAAATATTGTATTCAACCACATGTTAATAACTCAACCACAAGTCAATTGAGGTTTAGTTTTATTCTATTTATAGGTTTTTGTGAATTAAAAATCATGCTAAAGATTATGAGGAAGTCAGGCTAAATGAAAATCCTAAAAAAAGGCAATGTTTTCAATATTTGTTAGGCTATATAATACATTTATTTTTTTGGTTATTCAACGAAAACCTTACTAGAAATACTAAAGTGCATTTATTAATCAACAATATTCAACCTAACCAATATTCAACCTAGCAACCAACGGACAAGATCTTGAATGACATTTCTAGCAAATCAAATCTCTAAATGTAACTTCAGACTCACCCGTAAAGTTGTTCTAGATGTAAGAATACTGTAAACTCAACCCAGTAACAGTAAACAGCTTTATGATGCTAAAATGTATATCCATAGAAGAGTTCTCATGTTTCCTTCACGTTTCCCCTTTGCACAGAACTTATGTTCTGTCTTTTGCTTCACCTTTATACTTCCCCATATAATAATGCTACCTGCTAACATGGTTGAGCTAAAGAATATAGATCTAAAACTGAGCCTTGCTATGCTTGTAGGAATTGAGCATAGCACTTGGCCTGAGAAGATACCGATATCTAGATTTGTCATGGACTCCACATTATGGAGCGAGTCCACAGGGCATATTGCTGCATACCTAACATTTAAGTTGTGAAATCTGAGAATGTCAAACCTTACATAACCCCATACCTAAAAGCGTGGCTCAAGCATTATGTGAATTATGACAACGCCCAAAAGAGGCAATATAAATATGCTGATCAATGTTTGGAGGAACCCAGTCCATTCAAAGAAGATTTAGTATAACTGCTCCCAGTAACGGGCTGGAAGTTCAGGAAGTTAATTTTAACACTTAGTGTGTTCCACGTATCTGAGCTCATATACGGTAGCCTCAATGATGTTAAAGCTCCACCATCTACAGTGTCAAGACGAAGACGAGGACGCCCCGGAAAGAAACCTCATCTTGTGCTGGTCCCTCCTCTAAAGAGTTCGATGCCAGGGGAAAGAATGTAACAAACCATAGCCCATACAGCGCTCACAGCCCTGGACTGCCAGTGAAGTTTTATCGACACGAATATTGTTGCAAAGTGCAAACGTTAAGTGTGTCTATTTTTAGACAGAGCTTATTATACATAGTTTATAGCTTTAAGAAGAAGAAGATCTTGGTCTGATAATAAATGGTGAGACGATCAACAATATACGGTATGCTGACGATACAGTTCTCCTAACGGAAACGCTAGTAGAACTACAACATCTCGTTCAAAGTCTCAATATATACTGTAACAGTTACGGATTGAAAATTAATTTGAAAAAAAACTAAATTTATGGTAATCACGAAATCAAAGAACATCAGAGCTAATCTTGTAATAGACAATACAACGATTGAGCGTGTGCCCTGTTATAAATATCTAGGTGCTTGGATCACAGACGATACTGATCAAACAAAAGAGATTAGATGTAGAATAGAAATCGCTAGATCAGTCTTTAATAGAATGCACAAACTCTTTTGCAATCGTGATATCAATATAAAGTTACGAATACGAATGCTGCGGTGTTATGTCTTTTCTACCCTGTTATATGGAGTTGAGGCTTGGACACTAAAACAGTTGACCATAAAAAAACATCGAAGCTTTCGAGATGTGGTGCTATAGGCGCATTCTCAGAATATCATGGATGGACCGCGTCACTAACACGCAAATACTCCAAACTTTAGACAAAAGATGCGAAATTCTAAATGAGGTAAAAACTAAAAAGATGGAATACTTGGGGCACATTGTGAGAAGTGAAAAGTATGAACTTTTAAGAAACATCATGCAGGGCAAAATTAAGGGCAAAAGAAGTGTGGGAAGAAGAAAAATATCGTGGCTTCGTAATCTACGTGAATGGTTCGGGTGTAGTTCGATTGAACTTTTTAGGCGCGCTGTTAACAAAGTCGCAGTGGCCATGATGATTTCCAATCTCTGCTAGGAGTGGCACGAGAAGAAGAATAGCTTTAAGAGTTGCCGCTTGACCTTCAATAAATACAATCTACTTGTCTATCGTTATAATTTTCTGTTGAAACTCTAAAAACCCCTAACAAGTAACTAAGCACATGCTAAACGGCCAATTGTGTGTTGGATTACAAAAAAAAACATTAAAAAATAGAAATACTAATTTTTCAATGTTGAAACATACATTTGTAAACAATACATCTTTAGGGTTTTCATTTGACCTTTTTTGATAAATTGTCCATTACTAAAATCAAATATGTGGCAATCATTTGCTGTATTTACTGATCTTTTCCTCATATTTAAAACTCTTGTTATGAATCCATAAATTATACAATTAATAATGGTCAAAATTTTTTACGTTTTTACGAAACATACTTGCAAAACTAGTTGTCCTTTTTCTAAAACTAACATCAATAATTTACAAAAAGTAGCTAATAGAAAAGAAAGCCGACATTTATTACAGGCTAATGTACGCCTGGCATGAAAAAGAATATTGGATTCTACAAATTTTGACAAAAACTGATCACGTTCGTTCTAAAAGTAAGCTACCAGAGCTTGTGAAACAGTAACACTGTCAAACTTTGGATATATTAAAGGTACCATATCTAAAACATGGTAATTTGTGAAATTTGTATGACTTATTTTATAAATAGTTAATAGTAATTGAAATTTAAATACAAAAAATCAAGATTACCTTTGCTATACCAAAATGTTAATGTGCAAATTCACTTACAACAGAACGATTAAACAAACTGGCACTAAGCTTAACCTTGTCATTTTAAGTCAAGACTACTAAAAAATCCGGCTACAAATTATTTACAAGTTCATATCGATACTCCAAACCCAGCGACCGGTTCTCGAACGGAACACATAATAAATATTATTGTGAAGTGATTGAATTGAAGAGTAATCATTTCATCATAATCAAGCTCATTCAAAGCCAACACATTCAAAATATAAACAGCCCACCAATGCCAATCCAGTATCTATCAAACCAAATAAATTGTTAACCACTAATGCAGACCCCAAACAACTTCTTCTTCTTAGTGTGCCTGTCCGTTCTGAATGTTGGCGATCATTCTAGCTATGTTCACTTTGTTGGTTGCTATACAGAATAACTGCGCTGAGGTCTTTCTATTCATGTTCTTAGGTTAGCAAGCCAGGATATTCTTACCCTAATGCCGCGTTTTCACGATGACAATTGGCGAGACAATTGTTAGAAGACAACTAACTGGTATGAAATTATTGTCTTCGTCTAAACACTTCAGGCCAATTGCCTTGCAAACTGCCCTCACAATTGGCGCAAAATTCAGTTGTCTCCGAAAGTAGACTGAGGATAATGAGTTGCGCCCAGTGAGCCCCTCACCACTCGAAATCTCAATTGTCGCGACAATTGGCGCCGTGTCAACGGTGTAGGCCAGTAGTGTTGTCTTGTTTTTTGCCAGTTCCCTCTAGTTCTCTGGTGTCAGTCAAAACATACACGTGGTTTGTGTTATTTGTAGCTGTCTACTGGCATGGTAATAGTTGGCCCCGTATAAACATCTTCTCGTTCGACTGGACTGGCCTCCGATAATTCGCAACCACACGATGACAATTGTCTCGCCAATTGTCACCGTGAAAACGCGGCTTAACGGATACCCAAGAAAATGACACCAACCAAAATGAAACAGCGGCAAGAAAACATAAACCACCAGCAATATTTAAAAGATTATTATCAAGATATATGAAAGAGAACGCGCAGAACAGAGAGTAAAAGATTATATACGTAGCAATTTGAATACCGTTATTCATACAGATTTAATAAACCAGGAGCTTGAAAAACTGTAATAGAGTTTCACAAGACATACAAGAAAAATTCCTCAAGCCACAATGAGATTCTAGATATGATGGAAGAGAGGCGAAAAGTCAAAGATCAGGACAAAAAATTATACAAATGAATAGACAAAGAGATTAAAAAAGTAATCATAATGGCTAAGGACATACAGCTGAGAGGACAATGTGCGAAATATAGCTATTACAACAGAAACACGATTCATTCAATATGCACAAAAAAGTTAAAGAAGCTGCAGGCATATACAAACCTAGAAGAGATGGATGTTTGATGTTTGGCTGAGAATAAAGGTAATACGCTACTAGGTGTGAAAGACAGACTAGACACGTGGATAAAATATGTGGAAGTAACATTTGCAGATGAAAGGCAGATTACCATTGAAGACATAGAATGCCAAACAGGACCCCCGGTTACCATTGAAGATGTCACGGGAGCTATTAGAAAAACTAAAGATGGTAAAGCTGTTTTAAAGAAGGGCCTGACAAATTTTATACAGAATTCCTAAAACCTACGGACGATGGAAATATTTCTCAAAGATGGTTAAAGTCTACCTTTGTAACTATACAAAAAAATTAAATGCAAAAACATGCGAAGACGACAGAATAATTAGCCTAATGAGCTACTTACTTAAAACGTTTTTAAAAGTGATACATAACAGAATATATAAAAAATATGGAGAACAAGTGGATAGACACAATTTGGATTCCGCGATACCTTAGGCACTCGAGCAGCTCTATTCGCTATACAAGTGCTTATCCAGAGGTGCAGGAATGTCAATGTGATGTATATATTTGTTTTTTCGACTACAAAAAGACATTTGATTGAGTAAAACATGACAAGCTCATATCCATCTTGAAAGAAGTGGGCTTGGATGATAGAGACTTGCGAATTCTATATAATTTATATTACAACCAAACTGCCAACATTAAAGTGGATGACTAGTTGGCAGAGACAATCTCTATAGATAGAGGAGTGAGGAAAGGATGCATTCTGCTTCCAGTGCTATTTAACAGGTACTCGAAGTAAACCTCTGCATGGGCGATATCTCAATAAGATCAGCTAAGAATGTGTCGACAATAGAGCGTCGAACTATTGGTTGATATCAGGAAAGATATTTCCCGAGACTGAGGGTTTCCTACTTACCATTCAGGATCAGGTATTTCCAACTAAAAATTACCTGAAATATATTGTTAAAGATCCTCAAGTTCAAAATGATAAATGCCGATATGGATGCCAACCTCAAGAAACCATCACACATCTTACCGATGGCTGCTAGGCACTTGTCGGTACTGATTATACAGAATACAATGACGCAATAGGAAAGATTATCCATCAAGAACTAGCTGACAAACTGGGTCTTCTCCAAACCGACTGTCTTCCTAATTATCAATACGTCACTGACAGAATGCTTGAAAATGACAACTACAAGCTATACCGGAACCACACTGTGCTCACAAACCAACCAGTGGCACATAAAAGACCAGATCTCATACTAGTTAATAAACTTACTAGGCAAACAACACTTATTGATGTGGAGATACCCAACACCAATAATTTAAGTGTTAAATACAACGAAAAGATCGCCAAGTACAGAGATCTAAAAATACAAATCAGGAGACAATGGAGAATGGAAAGTACCCAAACAGTACCTATTATTATATCTACTACTGGTGTTAAACCCAAAAGCTGGGTCTAAATGAACATCTCTATAAGCCCATATCACGTCCCATTGTCACGTTCTGATGTGTACGTCAGGGCGTACACGTACGTTAAAATTTTTTGAGATACTCCAGCATGTCAAGTCACCTAGGGGTCGATAACACGGAAAGAGTCCCACCAGAGCTCAATCCTTTTGATACCATAGGGATCTGGGTGTGAGTGTGAGCCGTATGGCTAAATCTTAAATAATTATAATAAAAAAGATTATTTACAAGATGTGCAACGTTATAATAGGTACATGCTAAGTTGTAACTGCTTTCCAATCGGTGATGTAGAAACTGCTTGAGTAATCGTTCTTATGGAAAGCTTTTTATGCATAATAAAGTTATGGAGGGAAGAATTGAAGAAGGTCGCAACATTTTTGACATTTATGTAATCATTAATGTATATCATGTAATAATAATTGTTTTGCTAAAATTATAATACTAATACTTTGGTTAAGTTTGACCGTTCTGTTACAAGTGACTAAGGATCTTAACAGTATTAGTGTAGCTCTATGTACCAAATTTTCTGAAGAACGCGATTTTTTAATATAATTAAAATCTTACCTCTTTGTCAATGTCATTGTCATACAATTTAGGATATTGCTGCACAAAATGAAACATTTTAAGAAAAAGGTTTATCTCTTTTTGTTTGATAGATTTGTTTACGATGTTAGCGTTTAGCTCTTGGTTTTAAGTAAAATATTTCTTGATTTAATTCTAAAATAGGTACCTATTGATGTAAAATCATTTTTAATTTAAATTGAAATATCTATTCTTAAAGTATTATTAATGAGAATATTAACACAAAATTACGTTGAAATCCACTAATCGGAAACACCCATATTATATTATTATATTGGACAAAATCATGTCCATAAGTCAGAACACAGAAAATGGGAGAACTTCAGGTACATCAGTACATCAGGAGCCAACGATACCAGCAGAAATGGGATAGACTTTATCGTTAACAAAAGACACACAGAGTTTGTACAGACGTACGAGCCAACCAACCATCATATTAGTGTGGAAGTATTTTATTCTAGGCCCTCCAAACTACATATTGTTTAAGTATACATACCAACTGGAAGCCTTTTAAATGATGAGCTGAAAGCGGAATGTGAATAACTATTAAAAGATCCTTTTCAACATATATAAAGATATCTTAATAGTGATTGGAGATTTTAACGCTAAGATAGGAAACACAAAAAATGATTACCAGATAGATAATGTTACTGGCAAACATAGCTGACAGAGATCAGAGCGAAAATCCAAGCATGAAATTTTGAAAATTATGGACATACGAAGAATGACACTGAGACAAAGATTTACTTCAAAAATAGTTCATATAATATGGGTATGTCTACTGAACCGAATCAGAACAAGTGGGTATTAGGAGAAAGTAGGAGAAGCTGGCAAAAAGAAAAACCTAAAGCATTGAATGGACTATAAAATATTATATTCAAAAAGTTCTGGTTTATTGGCTATGACTGTGAATATAGTTATAATACAATTACTGGTTTTTATAACCACAAGCAATACCCACTGAAATATTTTATTTAACACCGTAATAAAAAATTAGCTTATATAGGATTAAAATTTAAAATTGATTGACATAATTTCTTTATAATAAAAGTACCTACTTTACGTTTCTTACCTCGAAAAATCCGAAAGCTGGCGTGGAAGAAAGGATATCGCTCAAATACTTCAGTTTCTCGAAGGCTATCGCTGTTGGTACAAACATGATGTCATTGTCACGAATCGCCATCCTAGCAATCATCCTTAGCGGTATGTCGTAGCTAATGATATTTGCCCTTGCTAAATCCATGGAGTCTGATATCAGCTGCGCCCTGATGCTAGTCGGTACTTCCATTATGGCTTCGACGAGACTCATCCAGTTTCTTTCGTCGTAGTTAACAACAAAGTAACCTAGTAGATTGAAAATCCACGATATATTAGATATCCACAATTAGATTCATAATTTTAAACAAAATATCAAAATAAGTACTTTCATTGCATTAGCAGAAGAACAACAATGAGAAGGACCTGCTGATAAGTCTATTATGGACTTTAAAAAAGTACAAGAGCTGGTAGCTAGTATGACAGGTAATTTGGTACATAATTTAATAAAAATAATAGTAAATAGTCTTAGATTTTTGAGCCTTGACCTCCTCTAAACTATGGCTACATCCTTGCCAGTCTTGCACCAATCTTCTCCAGGTTCTGTCCTTTTTCCCTCCCATCTTCTCCGTAGCCTCCTTTTGATCTTACGCCCTTCATTTTACCACATATCTAGAGCTCTTTACGGAAATCCTTTATTTCTTCATTCTCACTACATGACCAGCCCATCGAGGTATTTCAAGCTTAACGAATTCTGAGATCGGTGCCTCTTTCTTAGAACTTTTCTTTCAAATACTTCCAGCTTTCTTTTTGTGTTTTTCGTCATCATCCATGCCTGGCATCCATAACACACTAGTGGTCTGATTTGTTTTGTAGATCCTGATTTTTGATCTTCAGTGTGTGTTTTTGGAACAGAACACATAGGCGAGTGAAAAATAAACCTTTACTATTATTTTTTGAATTCTTGGTTCTTCTGTTCCATCTGTGTTTAATGCAACAGTTTCTACTGTTTCCCCTAGCCTGTGTTAGCATTTTTATCTTTTAAATATGTATTTCTACTCCAGTCTTTTTGCCCCTGTTTTTAATTGTGAATACAATTTCTACCGCCAGTTCCCTTCTGAAATATAATACTGATGTCATCGGTATAGGCGGCAATCTGTATTGATTTATTTGTTAAGAGATTAGTTCTTCTTATACTTAACTGTCTTATCACATATTCAAGAGACATGTTGAATAGTCTCTGTGTCAGTTTGTCTTTTTGGTTTAATCCGATCTCTTATTTTCGTTGGAATTATCGGTTTACGATGACATCGATCCCAGCCAATAGACCAGATTTTTAGACCGACGAATACAGGTATTATAATTTTTTCGATCTTGAAGCTCTTCTATAACCCTCTTACGTACCTAGCTTGCAAGGTGTCGTACCTTGTAAAACAATTTCCACGCGGCGATCTATTGAAACTCAGCCCCCAACTTGGGGATTCGTCTTATCATTTAGACGAGATCCCTGTTATATATAAAGAAATGGATATTATGATGACAATATATAATTATGATTATTTTGAAAATAATTATTTAAAAACATAATGTATATTGCACTTGTACATACCTGTTTGGTTTAAATTTAGGAGGTACCATTTAATATCCGATAAATTGACGTTTTGTACAGTTTCATATTCCCCCTTCAGCCAAAATTTGGGGAAAGTGTCGGTGTAATTTGGCTGTACACTAGTAGTAAACGATAATGGAACCCAGTAGTTTGATTTTTCGTCCTTCATGCGGTACAGGAATCTTTTCTGAAAATACAGTTTATTTGTAGTTAATTTATTAAGTTTGAGACAGAGAAAAATTTGTAATATGAGCCAACTTCAATTAAGAAGTTACTGCGGAGGGGAAAAACGTAAATAGCTGGAACAGTTTGTTAATAATTGTGGAAAACGCAGAAGAAAAATATATACAACATTCTTTCTAATATTAAACTTAGTCTTATATTATTTTGATTTATTGATTGATATATGAGTATACTGATAAAGGTAACAGGATGATTAAGAGTTAAATAAGAAAACTACCAATTACAAGCCAACAATTTTCTTTTCATACCTGGGACAGTCTAAGTGTGTTTTGTTCATAATCAGCATTAGCATATACAACTGGAAAACCTGCTCGTTCTGTCCATGTATCCATAATGGTTTTTAACAGTTTCATTTGGTAGCAACACCTGTCTTTTATGTGCTTCTTCGGTAAGAGATGCAAATAAATCATTTCTATCAGCATTTTTGTAAGAATATTTAGTCAAAAAATTAGTAAGTCCGGTTTTGAAAGTTTCTTCTCCGAGGAAGTTGCTTATCATGTTAACTATTGCAGCTCCTAAAAATTTCAACAAGAAAATAGGGTGTTAGTTTGTATAAAATACTAAAAATATTTATATTTACCTTTGCGATATGTGATAGGATCGAATAACTGTCGAATTTGAATTGTGTTTTGAATATTATCGAAAGAAATCGGTCTAGAAGTTTGCAAAGCGTCTTCATTCATTGCGATGAGATTTTCAGATAGCATGAATTCTTCAGCAAACATCCATCTTGGTTCAGCCTAAAAACAAAGAAGAATGTTTATTGCAAGTATATATATGTTATTAATTACGAATAGGTCACAACTGATCTAAAAAGTTAGCCAGCTCTGCCAACGAATCCTACGTCCATGAAGACAAAAGTCGCTTCATCCCCGGCAATATATGGCGTATTATGGGAGTACATTATATAGCAGAAGGAAGAGGGTGAAAGGCGGGTTTCAGCGCATTATTAACGACACACACCAGCGAACTCTTACCAACCCGCATTGAGGCAACGTGGTAAGGTAATCCTTACAAACCCTAACATAAAAAAACGTTAAAATCAAGACCCTCATTCTTCGTACGCCCAAATTTCCTTGAACAAGTCACACTGTTTGTCCAGTACGGTAACTACGCCACCTAGGAGCGAACCCTGAACTACCAACATCTGACATTTTAATGATATTTTATTCTTAAAACGATACGTTCAATTAATAATACTAATAATATTTAAAATAATACAATAATAATAATTAATTGAATTCATTAATTGATTTTTGCATTTTTCATATATTGATAGATCTGTTAAATGCCTTCTACATCCTTATTTTCTTGGAATAGACAATATGGTAAAGATTTTACCTTGGCTTTATCTATGTAAAGAATCTCACTGGTGAATGCAAACAGTCATACAGCACTACTAGGTGCAAAAACGATCCGAGTCTACATATCTTTTCAACAGCTTTAAAATAATATTTATTACTTACGTAGTTTACCCCTGAGTATACCAAGAAATTGGAAAAGCCTTCTTTCAACCAGAGATCGTTCCAAAATACTGGAGTTACGAGATTACCAAACCATTGATGGGCCAGTTCGTGGGCCAAAACTGTTGCTGTAGTTCTCTTGTCCTCATTAGTTGATGATAATGGATCGTATAAGAGAACATCCTCTCTGTAAATATAATAATATAATAAATTATACGTAATTATGATAACATATAATTTAATTATAATTATTAACAATTATTACTTTAGGAGCCAGGGGGCTTGAGTATGCACTTCTATGTCCCCATCGGTACCTTGACCCATCGATTGCCTATTTTGAAATTGGTTTTCACGAAATTTGTTAGAACTTCGGTTTTAACCAACGGATCAAAATTTATCAAACACCATTTTGTTCAATTTTTTTCAAAAGGGATAATTTTTATTTTGGTAAAATTAAATATTTCAAGAGTGAATCAAATATTTTAACAATTAAATTGTTAATAACAAATTAATTGACGGGTTTTCAACCTGGTGCCCTCGAGATATCGAATTTATGCACCATAAAACCTAAAAAAAGTCAAGGTACCAGGAGGACATAAAAGTGCCTACTCAAGCTCTAGACTAAATGGAGAAAATGCAAAGAAAATATTTTTTTGTTTATTACCTGAATGTTATCAGTCCCCAATTTTCCATAGCGCTAAAACCAAACTCAGGCACAGCTACAATATCAATTTTAGATAACGGGAATTTAATGCCGAAATAATTTTCATAGAATCTTAAGATTTTCGGTCCTATCTCAGCAGCATAAGCAGCGTTTCCAGCGATTTGTGGTCGTGCCCAAAATTGCATTAGTTGATCATCTCCAGCACCTTTAACAAAGTCCATTACCATAAAAGCGACTAGATAAGTCGACATCTTGGGAGTTTCTGGATATTCGTCCCAACTCCATTGTTCTGAGTTGTTCGTTCTAAAAAATGATAATAATTACCAAAGATCCAGGCACCTATAATCCGTTTTTTTTGTAGAAGATGAGACTTTTTTCAACTACAATGAATAATTTGATATCTATAATATCTACATTAAGGTACTTACGAAAATAAAGTTGTCGTGGCTAACGGCATGTTTGATAGTGACATCATATCAGTTGGTCGCCCTATGGTTATTTGGAAATTGGCCTTGAACGACGGTTCATCGAAGCATGGAAAAGCACTTCTTGCATCGACTGGAGAAAACTGTGTAGAAGCAATTAACCTAAAGTAAAAAGGATTTATAGTACCATGTAATATAATGGTACATATATCTGTTTTGTAGAAAATGCCAAAAACCAAAAACAAAATGGTCATTGTTAATAATTTTTTTTTATTTAAAAACTTGCATCAACCTGTAAGGCTATTAGCGAAAAAAGAAAAAGTATTAACAATAATTGAATAGCTTAACAATCAAATTTTGTATAAATAGTTTCTTGCTTTTAAATATTGGATAATCACTTTGGCACCGCGCATTAAGAATAGTCCTCTCAAATTCTCCGTGATTCCGAATTTACATCTTTCCGCACTGTGTAACGAGCACTCTCCACTAGAAGGTGTTTTACTGTTAGCAGGGTCTCGCAAGCATAACACTCCGGTTGGGGATCCCTTGTCATCAGATGTCCATGTGTAAGGCGACTATAACCAAGCCGCAGAACTCAATAGTTGTGTCCTCTCAGGTTTCTCGTGCATATTTATCCGCCAGATCATTTCCTGTGATTCCAATATGAGATGGCACCCACATGAAAGCAATGTTTCTGTGATTTAGGTTGTGTAATTCCTGTCTAATGACTTTGGCCACAGGATGGGAAGAATATATTTTTGAGATGATTTCTAGAGAACTTAGTGAGTAAGTAATTATTAAGAAGATAATTTCAGGACATTTTGTAAAGTGACATATGACTTTATATATTGCAAAGAGTTCTCCTGTTAACATAGTATTAGTCTCCACTATTTTATATTTCTCTATTTCATCCTTTGTTACAAAGACAGATGCTACACAACGTTTTGTTTTAGATCCATCTGTGAATAACTGTTTGAAGGAAGAAAATTGAGAAATTAAGGGTTGTAATTTTCTGATAATAGATCCATGGATTATCTTTAAGATAATGAAGGATCTATTATCCTTCCTACATAATAGAATTTATGTGAGGAGAAGATATTAGCCAAGGAGGGGAAGTTGGAATCTTGCTAGAATACATTTTGGGACTTTAGGGTTTAATTCATCAATGATTCGTCTGCATATTTCGTAAAAGAGAATGTGGGTTTTTGCGTGCTGGATCTTCGAGCAGCGAATGGTTTCTTGATACTGTAAAGAGTACCGCTTCAATGCATATGAGAGCATTAATTCCTGTCTTCTTAAATCTAATTGTAGTTTACCGAGTTCGGCCTGAAGACTTAAGATAGGGATTGTTCTAAATGCACCGCTTATTATTCTAAGAGCGTTATTTTGAATGGTGTCTAAAACTTTTAGAGTCGTTGTTGAAGCAGACGAATAAGCGTGGCATCCATAATCGATCTTGGAGCGGATCAGATTTTTATATACTATGAGTAGAGTTCTACCGTCCGCTCCCGAATTCGTACCAGAAAGACATTTTCTTTTTTGACATACAGCTAATATATATATATATATATATATATATATATATATATATATATATATATATATATATATTAGGTCTGACACCAAAGTGTTGAAGTTACGGTTCAAGTTTTAAAGTAGATATTTCTTTTATCTGTTTTGGTCTCTTTGACAATATGATGCAGTTTTAGATGAAGCAAATTAAAAACCACTCCTTTTAGACCATGCTATAGATCATTGCTAGAAACCTTAAAAATAACTCATAAGCAAAGAGCGATGTGTCATGCCTTTTTCTTAACACGAAATAGTTCTCCATATTTATCAAGTTGATCTTGTAGTAATTTGGCCATACTCTGTACTCTTGTTTCCATTTAAGAATATTATAAGATCATCCGCGTACAATCTTGCTTGAATGGGTTTGGTCATTGATTTGATTATATCATTAATAGCTACAGGCTAGATTACCGAGCCTTGGGTGTACCATTTTTTTGATCTCACATTAGATAGAAGACCGTTTACTTTTACCTTGAAATTTCTATTTATTTTAGGAGAATACTTTTTAATAAAAGCAAGTATATTTCCTTGACAGCCCCATGTACATATATCTGTTTTGTAAAACATGCAAAAGATTTATAGTTACAGTGAAAATATAAAGAAAATGATAATCCTTAATATGTATTTGTTATTAAATTTATTTTTTAGTATTAATAAACAATTTTTCGAGGTTTATTATTTTATTTTTGAAGAAACAATATAAATCTTTTAAAGTATTTTATTTTAAAATAATAAAGAAAATTGGAAAAATGTTTGATCAATTTAACGTATGAATAATGATCTCAAATTAAAAAAGTATACTGACCTTTGCCTGTGGATTTGGTCGTAATATTTTATCCTATAAAATCCTTTCAAATGCCCACTCAATTTCCCATCAAAATTTACATCTAACTGGTACTCTTCATTTTTCCTTAAATGCTCTTTCAGTACTATTTTATATTTCTCCTTCTCGTAGTAAAGCTGCTCTTTTATTTCTAACAGACTAGAATCAGGTTTGGTTGATCTTACGCTAACGGAATGCTCATCAATTGAAATGCTTCTAACGTTGAAAATAATTTCGTTCGTTTCCTCTAAAACGTTCAGAGTCATAGTCACTGAACCCTCAGTCGTAGAGTTTTGGAAGTGCGGCAAAATTCGTAATCTGTAACAATAAAGAAAGAAAATAGGATGCTTACATTTCAATCACAAATCTGTCCATTAATTCGTAATATCATATTAATTTTAATTTTATTAATTTGTCTAGTTTCACCGTGTATAATTATGAAACATTCAATCAGTAGCTTAATTACAGTTTGTTTAACTTCCTGCAAATTATATATTGCCTAAAAGGTATTGAGGAATTGCTTGCAATAATTTCCTCGGTTCAAATTATATTTGTCAGCTTTCAAAAGTCGAAGGTTTTTGTTCTACGCAGAGGACAATACACTTGTTTGATGAATCGTAGTATTTTAGTGGGATTATAGTCCATTATAAACTTTTACCTCAACAACAACTATACTGTAATAATTCAGTAGCTGTCCATATATTTTACTCCATGACTTCGACATTTTATTTTATCATCGTCGATCAAGAAGAATCGGATACAGGGAATTAGAAACAATTCGAAATTGTAATTACATTCGAATTTGTCCAATCAGGTATTTGTGACGTGAGCAATATACATTTATCTGTAAGTACTCGCAGTAATTTGTGTAGAGTGACGATGTCTTAGTGATCGACGGGAAATATTAGTGGATGTAAGTGGGCAAGGGTTTCATATTAATAAAAAGACTTTTTCCAATAATTAAAAATTAGTTATACTGAGGTAAAATCTTTCGGAAGCAAACTGGGATTTCGTTCGGATTTCAAGGTAAGAGCTATTTCAGTAGAAACAACATTATAGGTTAGAAAAATCAGGATAGGGTCTTAAAATCTTAGAAGCTTTGTAGGAAAGAGTATGGAGTTACTAAAAACACCAAGAAGAAGGAGATTACAAATTATTTGTATTCGACAGACGTGGTGCAAAAGACAAAGGACAAAAGAACTAGGTGAAGGATACAAATTGTGGTATGTAGGGAAGAGGAAGACCAGGAATGGTGTTGGTATAATGAAAAAGAAATGAAAAATTTCCTATGATTAAATAGGAGACATACTTAGAGATTTTAATACATATGTAAGTCAGTCGAATAGAGGATATGAAGCAACACATGGACGATAATGAAAATAAAGACAAACGTGTTAAAAAAGAAAGAGGAAGGTCTATTTAGGGCAAAAATAACTGAAAAAAATCAGCTATATAACGAAAGGAAATCCTAACACAATTTTCTACAAGAATGGCTGAATCATCAGCGTCTTACTCCCACTTATCTGTCATCCAAACCCTCTCTAATGATTTTTTCAGAGAATAGATTAAAAAGAGTGGGTGACAAAACACAACCCTGTTGTACTCCACGTATGATGGATAGTTTTTCAGTACGACTACCTCCAATTTGGATAGAGGCTACTTCATTGTAATATAAGTATTATTTTTATTATAATATAAGTAATTTTTAGATTGTAATATAAGTATCATATTGTACTCGATCAAATACCTTGTCGAAGTCAATGAATCAAGTATAAACGTTCTTTCGGAACTCACAATTTATTGCAAGAGAACGCGCACTCATATCAGTGCCTCTTTAGTTTTATAGACCATTTTCAATATTTCTTCAATTTCTTCATCTTCAATATTTCAAATGGGACGCCCTGTATTTTTTATAGTTTTGAGTAGCCGTGCATTTCCATTTACCAATATATAACATTGTGTAGCATTAGTTTTATTCTATAATGGCATATAGTACTACAAAAGGGTAACCATAGGTGGCTATGCAACTAACATTTCAAAATGAAACAATTATTAATTTATTATAAACTGTCAGTCTTTTTATGGACAGATGAATCAAATTTTTCAACTTCGGCATTTTTAATAGAAGAAACAAGTATTCGTGGGAACAGAAAAATAATAGAAAAAGAAAAATTAAGCAAATAAAAAGGCACAAAGAAAATTAATAAATGTGGGGTGCGGAATATTTCAAAACAAAATAATTGAACCATTGTTTTAGGATTATAAATTAACTGGAGAATCATATTTGGATCATTACAGAAGTGGACGAGTTATTAAATCAAAATTATACACAAAATCAATCAAATAGTATGATATAGCAACAAGATGGAGCACCACCACATAATGTCGTAGCCGTTCAAGAATATATAAAAAATCAATTTAATGTGTGGATCGGCAATAAGGGTACCGTTACATGGCCACCAAATAGTCCCGACATAACACCATGTGATAGCATTTTATGGGGGTTTTTAAAACAAAAAGTGTATTTTGATTCAAATACAAATATTAACACTATCACGGCGTAAGTTCGCGAGGAAATTGAAAATTTAAATGGTCATAATAACACAATATCTGACGTATTAGAAAATTTGAGACGAAGGTATTACTTGTGCATTGATAACAATAGAGGAAACTCTGAGCATCTATTGTAATTTTAAATGTAGTATTGTAAGTCATTAATTTTGTTGACTTTCTAAATATATTTGTTTCTTATTTTAGTATAGTATAGTGTATAGTAGTACCATACGCCATTATAGAACAAAAATGATGCTACACTATGTTATATATTTGTAACCAGGAAATGCAGGGCTACTTAAAACTATAAAAAAATACAGGGTGTCCCATTTGAAATATTTAAAATGCATTTTATTCTTCTTCTTAGAGTGCCGTCTCCCTACGGAGGTTGGCAATCATAATGGCTATTTTATTTTAGAACTTGCTGCTCTAAACAAATCAATCGATCTGCATTGGTACCAATCACGTAGATTCTTTAACCATGAGTTCTGCCTTCGGCCAACAGATCTTCTTCCTTGAATCTTTCCCTGTATTATCAGTCTCAAAATTTCATATTTTGGTCCCCTCATCACGTGGCCTAGGTATTCCAGTTTTCTGGTTTGTATAGTGGTGATTAGTTCTGTTTCTTTACCAACCCTCTCCAGTACTTCTTTATTTGTAATTCTATCAGTCCATGATATTTTCAATACTCTGCGGTATAACCAGAGTTCGAAGGCCTCGATTCTTTTTAAATTACATTTTTTTAATGTCCAAGTCTCAGCTCCATATAATAATATTGAAAATATATAACAGCGAATGGTACGTAGTCTGATCTCCAAATTTAGATTTTTGCACGTTAGGAGTGGCTTCATTCGTATAAATGCTGATCTGGCAATCTCTATTCGTCTGTTTATTTCTACAGTATGATCATTGGTTTCATTGATCAAAGTTCCCAAATACTGATATTTTTCTACTTGTTCTATCACGTTACCATTTATTGTCAATAGGTGATGTATATTTTGTGGCCTTTTTGTAATCAGCATGTACTTCGTTTTTTTTGGCGTTTATAGTAATTCCCATCTCAGCACTATTTATACTCAAGCTTTCGATAAGATGTTGTAGATCCTCTATACTCGTTGCTATGATCACAGTGTCGACTGCATATCTTAAATTATTAATTAATTTTCCGTTAACGGTGACTCCCGCTTCGATATTATTGAGCGTGTTTTGGAAAATTTCTTCAGAATATAAGTTAAACAAAAGTGGTGATAACACACATCCCTCTCTAACTCCTCTACAGATCCTCATTTCTTCTGAGTGTTGCCCATCAATTTGAACTATGGCACTTTGGTTCCAATATAATGTTTGCACTATATTTATGATTTTACTGTCAATGCGCTTGTTCATAAGTATTGATATTAGTTTTTCATGTCTTACTTTATCGAAAGCTTTTTCGTAGTCAACGAAGCACAAGTGTAGATCAACATTCACATCCCGACATCGCTGAATTAATATGTTGATGGCAAATAGTCCTTCTCGAGTACCCATTCCATTTCGGAACCCGAACTGCGTCTCGCTAATATCCTCCTCTAGCCTGTCGTATATTCTCTATTTTTAGCAGAACTTTTAAAGTATGACTCATGAGGCTCAGTGTTCGATAATCAGAGCACTCTTTTGCTGCTTGTTTTTTAGGGATGGTTATAAATGCTGACTTTAGCCACTCCTGTGGTATTATTCCCGTATCGTACACCGTGTTGAATAAATCTGCCAATACTTCCAAGTTGTCCTCTTCCACTAGTTTTAAGAGTTCTACTGGTATTTTATCTAATCCAGCTGCCTTATTGTCTTTAGAGTTTTTGATAGCATATTTGATTTCATCTATCGTGATCTTCTGTATCTCTAAAGGATTTAATTCTTGTATTTTCTGCATTTCACCTCTTTCATCTTGGAAAAGTTCTCTAACGTACTCCTCCCATCGCCTTAACTTCTCTGGTAAATCTACTAGTAGTACTCCTTTTTTGTCTTTTATCTGTCCTTGCTGTCTATTTCGACCCATTCCAGTCACTTCTCTAATTTTTTTGTGCATATTTCTCATATCATATTTTGTTTCTAGTTCTTCTATCTCTTTACATTGCTTCATCAAATAGATTTCCTTAGCTGTTTTGATTTTTTCCTTAATTATTCGTTGTATTTCTTTATACTTCTGTAGATCTTTTCCTTTATATTTCCTTCTTTCTTCCATCAGTAATAGCATTTCTTCTGTCATCCAGTGTTTTTTAGCCTCTGATTTATGTTCTATTAAACTTTCTTGAGCTGGTTTCAGTAATGAGTTTTTTATATTACACCACTTTTTATTTACATCCATAATTTGTTTGTTGTCAGTTAGTGTTTTTTGCATATTAACATTCACATTATTTTTTATTTCGTTTTTATTTCTTCGTTTTGTAGCATTCTTACGTTAATTTTTGGTTGTTGTTTTCTGAGCTCAATTCTTTTTAATTTTATTTTCACGTCAGCCACTAGCGGATTGTGGTCTGAGTTAACATCTGCTCCAGGATAAGTTTTAACTGAGGTTATAGAGTTTTTATATCTGCTATTTACGAGTATAAAGTCTATCTGGTTTCTGACAATGTGGTTTTCTGTATGTGAAGGAGACGTCCATGTATATAGTCTTCTTTTAGAAAGCTGAAACCAAGTATTGGCAATTACCATATTCTTTTCTTGGCAGAATTCTATGAGCCTTTCTCCTCTCTCGTTTCTAGTTCCTAGTCCAAACTGTCCAACTA